GAGGAGAGACTGCCAGGAGAGAGAGGAGAGACAGCCAGGAGAGAGAGGAGAGACAGCCAGGAGAGGGAGGAGAGACTGCCAGGAGAGAGAGGAGAGACAGCCAGGAGAGAGAGGAGAGACTGCCAGGAGAGAGGAGACACTGACAGGAGAGAGAGGAGACACTGACAGGAGAGAGAGGAGAGACTGCCAGGAGAGAGAGGAGAGACTGCCAGGAGAGAGAGGAGAGACTGCCAGGAGAGAGAGGAGAGACTGCCAGGAGAGAGAGGAGAGACTGCCAGGAGAGAGAGGAGAGACAGCCAGGAGGATGAACCAGGAAAGACAGCAGGAAGGGAGAGCAAGGAGAGACAGCCAGGAGAAAGAGACTGCTAGGAGAGAGAGGAGAGACAGCCAGGAGAGAGGGGAGAGACAGCCAGGAGCGAGGGGAGAGACAGCCAGGAGCGAGGGGAGAGACAGCCAGGAGCGAGGGGAGAGACAGCCAGGAGCGAGGGGAGAGACAGCCAGGAGGATGAACCAGGAAAGACAGCAGGAAGGGAGAGCAAGGAGAGACAGCCAGGAGAGCGAGGAGAGACAGTCGGGAGAGTTTGACTTATCTGCACCCGGAGCTTCTGACACCTCCTTGCTCCCTGAGTTTTGGCGTCCCTCTGTGTCCCGTGCCTCCTCCATGCACTCATACCGTATTTCCCCGACAATAAGACATTGTCTTATATATTTGGCTCAAAAACACACACACAGGTCTTATATTCGGGGAAACGGTAGAGCTCCATGACCCCGGGATTGTCCCCGTCTGCCTGACATTGTGACATCTCGTGAATACCAAACGGGGCAACCCAAACTACGCCCAAAAGTAGCCAGTCCGTGGGCTGCAAATGGCCCATTGGACGATACTTTGAGATCCCTGGTGTACAGTGTGTATACTGTGTGTGTGTTGTGTCCCCATGGCAGTGTATAGTGTGCATTGTAGAGTGTGTGTGTTGTGTCCCCATGGCAGTGTATAGTGTGGATTGTATACTGTGTGTGTGTGTATTGTGTCCTCATGGCAGTGTATAGTGTGTATTGTATACTGTGTGTGTATTGTGTCCTCATGGCAGTGTATAGTGTGGATTGTATACTGTGTGTGTATTGTGTCCTCATGGCAGTGTATAGTGTGGATTGTATACTGTGTGTGTATTGTGTCCTCATGGCAGTGTATAGTGTGGATTGTATACTGTGTGTGTATTGTGTCCTCATGGCAGTGTATAGTGTGGATTGTATACTGTGTGTGTGTGGTGTCCTCATGGCAGTGTATAGTGTGGATTGTATACTGTGTGTGTGTTGTGTCCTCATGGCAGTGTATAGTGTGGATTGTATACTGTGTGTGTGTGTGTATTGTGTCCCCATGGCAGTGTATAGTGTGGATTGTATACTGTGTGTGTGTGTATTGTGTCCTCATGGCAGTGTATAGTGTGGATTGTATACTGTGTGTGTGTTGTGTCCCCATGGCAGTGTATAGTGTGGATTGTATAGTGTGTGTGTGTGTGTGTTGTCCCCATGGCAGTGTATAGTGTGGATTGTATACTGTGTGTGTGTGTTGTCCCCATGGCAGTGTATAGTGTGCATTGTATACTGTGTGTGTGTTGTGTCCCCATGGCAGTGTATAGTGTGCATTGTATACTGTGTGTGTGTGTTGTCCCCATGGCAGTGTATAGTGTGCATTGTATATTGTGTGTGTGTTGTGTCCCCATGGCAGTGTATAGTGTGCATTGTATACTGTGTGTGTGTGTGTGTTGTCCCCATGGCAGTGTATAGTGTGCATTGTATACTGTGTGTGTGTGGGTTGTGTCCCCATGGCAGTGTATAGTGTGCATTGTATACTGTGTGTGTGTGTGTTGTGTCCCCATGGCAGTGTATAGTGTGCATTGTATACTGTGTGTGTTTTGTGTCCCCATGGCAGTGTATAGTGTGCATTGTATATTGTGTGTGTGTTGTGTCCCCATGGCAGTGTATAGTGTGCATTGTATATTGTGTGTGTGTGTGTTGTGTCCCCATGGCAGTGTATAGTGTGCATTGTATACTGTGTGTGTGTTGTGTCCCCATGGCAGTGTATAGTGTGCATTGTATACTGTGTGTGTGTGTGTTGTGTCCCCATGGCAGTGTATAGTGTGCATTGTATACTGTGTGTGTCCCCATGGCAGTGTATAGTGTGCATTGTATACTGTGTGTGTGTGTGTGTGTGTTGTGTCCCCATGGCGGTGTATAGTGTGCATTGTATACTGTGTGTGTGTGTTGTGTCCCCATGGCAGTGTATAGTGTGCATTGTATACTGTGTGTGTGTGTGTTGTGTCCCCATGGCAGTGTATAGTGTGCATTGTATATTGTGTGTGTATTGTGTCCCCATGGCAGTGTATAGTGTGCATTGTATATTGTGTGTGTGTGTGTGTTGTGTCCCCATGGCAGTGTATAGTGTGCATTGTATATTGTGTGTGTGTTGTGTCCCCATGGCAGTGTATAGTGTGCATTGTATATTGTGTGTGTATTGTGTCCCCATGGCAGTGTACAGAGCCCCTCCCCCTACCAGCTCTGCTCTCAGGGCTCTTCCCGGCAGCCCCGCCCCTCGGACAGGATGTTTTCCTTAAAAGGATATCTGCGTCATGGATTCCCGATGGACGGTCCCATGTGTCGGGTATCTCGGGGGGGGGGATTTGCGGGGTGATTGTGCAGTTTGGGGTGTGTTGGGATCGGTCAGGAGAGGGGCTCGGATCGGTATGTGAGTTGATAAAGCTCAGGTATTGTGAGTGTAGGGTTGGGGTGTACATATTGTCTGTGTGGACCGATCTGTGTCCCCCCGCACACACATGGTATGATCCGTGACGTGGTCTCCATTCATAAACTAGTGACAGCGGAGTATAAAAGGCGGCCGAGCGCCGAGTTCTGACATTGACAGCTCAGGAGCTCTCGGTACTTTTATCGCTCTTTATATACCGGGAACATGTTCGGCTTCTCCAGCAGCAGCAGCACCGACTACGAGGCAGTTTCCTCCCGGTGTAGCAGCGCCTCTCCCGCCGGGGACAGCATGTCATATTACCCGTCGCCGTCCGCTTCCTTCTCCAGCATGGGATCCCCTCTCACCCCGCCGGTAAGTGATTTGTGATGTGATCGGGTTCTGCATTTGGGCTGTGAAATGTTCTTTATGATATTCGGATTGGTTGGGCTCAGGAGAGCTTTGGGGGTAATGCAGTTAGCATTGGGGTACAATGTGCAGTTGACTTGGATTGGAGGTGCACCGGGGACTTGAATGGGGGTGCACAGTGCTGGTGACATGGGTTGGAGGTGCAACTGGTCACATAGTTGGGGCTGCAAGGGCTGAGCCCCCCCCCTGTGTGTGTAAAGCGGATTCATTGATAAAAATGGTTGCAGAGTTCATTCAGGAGACTCCAGAGCGGCTCCTGCGTCACTGCTGACGTTGGAGCTATTTTTATTTTCCTCTGTCTGCTGTGCCGGGATTGGAAATGCGGCTCCCTCTGGATCAGCCCATTCAGCATGTGCACAGAGGGGGGGGGGGGGGGGGGCGGCTCGCGC